GGAGCCGCGGCGCGCCCGCCCCCCGCGAAGGTGAGTGCCGCGCCCGGGGCCCCAGATCAGGCACCCTGCGGTCCCTGTCGGCAGAGGCTCCCTGGGACTGCCGTTGACCTTGGGGCAGCCGCCGGCGAGATAGGCTTGGGGGACAGAGAGAGCTGCGCGTGGTCCTTGTGACATGCTGCTAGAGAGAGGGTTAACTGCATGCTGCCGCGAAGGGATGAAGTTGAGCGCAAAGCGCAACTGGCATTGCATTTTTGCGGGGGCTGAGGAGAGGTTGCATGCTAGCAAACCAACAGAAGCCCCGAGGGACTGTTTGGGGGAGCTGGGATGGTGCACAAATTGCCAGAGGGAAGTGGTTAAGTCAGCTGTCCCACTGCTCAGAGCTGAGTGACCTTGGACAGGTCAACCTCTCTGCGCCCCCCCACCCCCCAGTCTTTATCAAGAGGGGCTTGGGTTCTTTGCAGTTCCACAGGGCTGTTGTGCCATTGTACTGTGAGCTGAGAAAGGGCTCCAAAGTACTAGTTCTGCAGGTACAGGATACACAAGGCTTAACCATGTTTATTCTACGAGGGTTTCTGTTAATTGGCTCTCAAGTGACAAGAAATGTTATTGTTTTATAGAAGATTATGGAGAGAAAGCAGTGGGTGGTCCAGAGAGTAGCTTCGCAAGACGCCCAGGTTAAAACCTCTAGTGTGCTCTAAAGTCATGACAAAATCAGGGTTAATACTCTTGAGTTCTTTCTTGTAGTTAATCTAATAGGAAACTTCGTATTTGAACAGGTAAAATCAAAGCCCAATAGTGGCAGGCAGCAGCAAATTAAGTGAGTCATTTCTTCAGTGTGCACGAGGTGTGTGTGTGTGGGGGGGGGGGCACAAGCGCCTGGCTGCGATCACACCCTCATCTTAAAGTCTGTATGTCAGTGTTAGAAATTATTTCATAGGAGTAACCAGAAATAATGCTAGAATTATTTGAATCCTCAGAAGTGCAGCTCTCTCAGAAACATGGGCAAACATTTGCAGCTTGCTTTTAAATAGGAGTTGGGTTTTTGAAAGTAAACATATTCTTTACTGAGAACCATCCCTAGGATGTGCACATGTGTCGGCCTTCAGGGCCCTAGCATAGAGTGTGTGGGTATGAGGAAGGTGCTCCTGAGACCCAGCAGGCTGTGACCTCTTCTGTTTTTGGTATTGGCTGGTGCTAAAAGGCTACTCAGTCCCTTTTCTATATTCTCAGCTTGTACACTTCTCTCTTCCAAGGAGAAGGAAGTGGGGAAATCCTCGGTCCCTCTCTCAAGTTCCCAGAGTTGCCCCTTCTGGCTTTCTGCTCGAAGGCTACCCTTGATCTTCATTCCAATCTGAGTTCATCTGTTTGAAAATGAAGGTTGAGAAGACAACATTTTCGATGTTAATGTATAAGCTTCTGCAAGCTTGTTTACTTGAGGGTTTAATAATCTTTAATGGTTTACATGTTAGGAATCTGATAACACCCAGATAGAAGAATCCTTACTGCCCAGGAATTCACCACTAAACCTGCAAACCCTTTAATGAATCACACCTCATGACACTAGGAACCCTCCTGAACTATTCGGCCTCCTGTTTCTGTAGGCCACTGACCTGTGTGTTTCCAACTTGCCTTTCAATCTCTTGTTTCTTACATCTTGCAGCCATACTCCTGTATTTTCCTTTTTATCTGCGGCTGAGCCCGTCTCCTGTCCCTCCCCTAGCACCAGAGCCTGAGTGAGCAGCTTCCCTCACAACAGTCCTCTCCCATTCACCAGAGCGCAGATTGGGCTTCCCCTGGCTTCTCAGTGCCACCTCCAAACTGTGCACCCATCACTAACAAAATCTTCTCTTTAGAAGGTCAGACGTCTGCTTATGCCTCACACCATCCTTCTTATCTTCTGGATCAGTGCTTGCCAAACCTGGTGGCTCTTCAGAATCACCTGGGGCATTTTGAAAAATGTGGCTCTTTAGACTCTCCCAGACATACCGAATTAGAGTCATCAATGTAGGAAAGACCTACAAATCCTTTTTTAAAAAATAAACCCCCCAAAAAGAAGAAGGAGGTGGAAGGATGGGGAGAGAAAACAGAGCTCCCTGGGTGATTCTGATGTACAGCCAGGTTTGAGAATCACTTCGCTTGAAGCTACAAAAAAGTAACAAACAAACAAACATGAGCAACTAGTTCGGTTCCCTTTTCTACCTTGCCAGTGACTTTGGGGTTTATGTTGAGGCTCTATTAATTCACTGACCTTGAAGTTTCTCAAGGTTTCCAGGGTCAACTCCAATGACCTTAGTTTTCACTTCAACCACTCATTTCTGGGACTTGTTTAGTCTTGGAATATTTTCCACATTTAGGATTTGGACTTCAACTTGGATTTCAGTCTGCTTAGCTGATGTTTTTCCACCTACTGCACTATGTTTTAACCATCACCAAGGACTCTGGTACTTTAATTGCTAGCCGTTCAATCCCTTTACAGCTCCATTTCTCCGCTTGGAGTCTATATGTTACCAGCCATTACAATTCTGTCTGGAGTCCCAGAATCTTTCATCTTAAATGTTGAGCTTCTATTCCAGTCCTCAATCCAAAATCACCCTCATTATCTGCTTTATCTTCTCCCAGCCTGAGAAGTTATCCAGGAGAGTCACTAAGACCCTCCGACTGGTTCCATTGAAAATTTGTGCCGGCTCTAATTTAACCTAGGTCTTGCTTTTCTACGAAAAAAAAAAAATCCTTCTTTTATTAACTCCTGACTACACTCCTTTAAAGGTTATGCCAGACTTTTCCATTCCATAAACTTCTGGTCAGTTTCCTTTCAGGAGATAGCCTGTTTTCATTGATAAGATTAAGGATGTTCACGTCCTAGTTTACTTCCCTTGACTTCAGTGTAAGCTCCCATGGTACCCTCCTCACCACCCCAAGCATTTTTCTTTACCCATCTTTATCCTTTATTTCCTCTTCCTTCTAGGAGGAAAATGTCTCTAAGTCCCCTCCCCAAGATTAACCCACATATACTTCACACTCTCCAGTCTCTGGACATCTTCCCTTCCTTCTTGCCTCTTTTGGAAAGTTGTTCTGTTTGTTATTCCCTTTCTCCAGTTTCTTTAGTCTCACCTTACCCCCTAGCTCTCCTCCCACCATATATTCAAGTCATCATTCTCATAATAAAGAAATTGTGCTGGAGGCTCAGCTCTGTCCAGTAGAACTTTCTGTGATGATGGAAATAGTTTATATCTATGCTGTCTCATATGGGAGTCACTAGCCACATGTGACTACCGAGCACATGAAATGTGGCCAGTGAGACCAAGGAACTAAATTTCTAATTTTCGTTAATTTTAAATGAACTCAAATTCAATTTAAATAGTCACATGGGGCTGAGGGCTACTGTATGGGGCAGCGCAGTTCTACTGCATGCTACTGTGTTGAACTGTCCTTGGCTTTCCCTCCTGTGACTGCCCACTCACTTCTTTTAGCCTCACCCTTACTTTTCTGTTGAAACTGCTTATTTGCGGGGCTCTAGTGGAGCGGTTCTGATTGCAAAGTTGAAGCCTTTACTCTGACTTGCCCCACCTTGATTTCCACCCTGTGTCTGCTACCAGCAGTCACCCTCCTCCTGAGCCTCTCACCTTTTTTGTCTCGTGTCACTGGTTATCCAAGTGCATTTATCTCTATCCTCCTAACTTCTGAACGTGGGATTCTGTAGGATCCTGGGGACCTTTTCCACTTCTTTTCCTTGCCTCTGCCCTCTTCCTCTCCTGGTGTCAGCCTTACCCCACAGGCAACAGTAGTTGTCATGGGCGGTTACCCTGGAGCCTTTCCAGGCACCATCCGTGCTTCACTTGTATCATGTCCTTTAATCCTCATTCCAACTCTATGAAGCAGATATGCTGATCATTCCTGTTATATAGGTAAAGAAATTTAAGCAGAGAGAAATGAGGGCAACTTAAGGAAGTAACTGGTTGTTAAGGAGCAGACCTGAGAAATGAATTCTGGCAATATGACCTTACAGCTCTGCTTTTAACCAGATTTACTCAGGCCTCCCACATGCCTTCAAATCTACATTTCTGGTTCTACTCTCTCCCAAATTCCATTCAGAATCCGATACCCAGAAGCCTGATTATTTTGTCTTTAAACAGCTCTTCATCCTAACTTCCTTAATCATTTTTCATTTTTTAGCTTTTTATTTTGAAATAATTCAGATTTACAGAAAAGTTGCAAGAGTAATTTAAATAATTCCTATATACCTTTCACCCAAATTTTACAGATATTAACTCTTTACCACATTTGCTTTATCCTTGCTCTATCACATTCTCTCTCCAAACACACACATACACATGCACAAACACAGACATACACACACACATACGTACATATGTTATAATTTTCTTGAACCATTTCAGAGTTCATTGTAGACATGATACCCCGTTACCGCCCCCTTTCAAATATTTCAGTGTATATTTCCAGAAAAAAAAAAAGACTGCATAGCAAGCATCCAAAATCAAGAAATTAACATTGATTCTGTATAATTATCTAATCTATAGACCTTACTCAAGTGTCACCAATAGCCCTAATAATGTCTTTTATAGCAAAAATGGTGAGGGGACCTTCTTTAAAAGGTCTCTTCCTGGTCCAGGATTCAATCCAGGATCTCGTGCTGCTTTAGTTGTCACATGCCTCTTTTATTTCCTGTAGTCTGGTCAGTTCCTCAGTTGTTCTTTGACTGTCACGACCTTAACATTTCGAAAGGATACAGGAGGGTTATTTTGTAGAATACCCTTTAACTTGGGTTTGTCTGGTGTTTTCTCATGATAGATCCAGGTTATCCCTTATTAGGGAGGCATCCTACAGATGAGATACTGTGTCCTTCTTAGTGCATCCCAAATGATTTTCATGCTATCATTCTCTCTGTAACCTGTTCTTGATCACTTGGGGTTTTTTTGTTTTTTTTTTTTTTTGACTTTTTTCCTCCTCTTCACACTCCTACATCCAGTTGGTCATTGAGTGTTGAGATGGTGTGCCCCCTGCACAATCTC